ACATCGATGACTATGGTTAATGAACACTTACCTGGAAAAGAAAAAGATATGATTTAGAATATTTAATTACAATTTAATAACTTGCCATTGTTTAATAATGTTTAATAATCAAACATCAAAAATATTTTGGAAAGTGTTATTCCTTTAGACAAGCTAGCGATTCATTAAAACAGTCAGTTTTCTATTAATACCGAAGCAGCTGGAAAATAAGAAAATAGCAAATACAGCTACGAAATTGTCATAGTAATGTGTGTTTATATTTGAAAATATACAAATAACAATACTCGTCGAGTAGAGAAAGAAGGTCTAAATAGGTCAGAAAAAACAGATTACCATACAGACCTCGTAAGCAATGAAATATTCCGTTTCAGCCTTATTCGTTTAACACAGAAAAGTGTTCCTTGACAAATAAAAAGGTTACTTTGGACAGAGGCGCATCATTCCATTTCGTCATACACAGTGTCAAAGATCTAGGTCATACATAGGCACGGAACTATTGAAAATAAAAAAGTTGCTCTCAAAGAATGCTTGAAATTGTATTCAAAAAAAATTACGAAATGGTTATTTTCCTTACAAGTGCGGAAAAGACAATTTTCGCAACAGTTAGGAACAGCTTTTTTCTACCATCGCGTAACAATTTATTATAACAAACGAAATTATATACTTTACTAACAAAGAACGTAACATAATTAAATTTTATTTGTATTGATGTTAATAACAAAAGAGCACTTGGCAGCGTTATTAGCATTCATTTTCAGTTGCAGTTATGTTTGAAAGCAGATATTTCAGAATAGTGTATGCTGATGCATTGGATATTGTCGTATCATTTTATGTTGACAATAAGATATTGTAAATAATGATTAAATTTAACACCCGGCTAGATTTTTGCTTTTCCTGTGCCTATTATTGTAGCTTCTTCGTCTCGACGACCAATTATTGTACTGCGCCAAATGAAACAAAAAATGTAGAAGTAAAAAGTTACTAGCGTTTCGGCTAGAACATTTGATTGTACCTACATTTGTAAAAAGCCCACTGAGGTGACCGATTTATGAACTTTCATTTCTAAATCTGCCGTTTTATTTGGCCTGAAGAATTTGGAGATTTGTACAATTTGTACTGCACTTTTGTGAAAAAAAAATGGCGTCAATTAGATTGACTCTACACTTCACAAGTTAAACCTCTGAGAAAAAGTTATGTAGCAAAAAAAATAAATGAATGTCAGTCAGTTAAGCCTATAGAATTAGTCCGTAGGCGCCACCCATTTGGAAACGCTGCCCTCTAAAACTTCTTCGACTGTCCTACGGAAAGTACCGACCATATGAAAACGTTGTTAGACCAAAACATCCAGGCATGAGCCAACGCGTACATCGAAAATGTACGGAAGTGAGCGAGTTTTTTGTTGTACATTCCATGTAACATCCAAAACAATAATTACAATTTTTTCACATTTACAATACTGGTGTGGGAAGTAAAATATCGAAAAGAAACCCTATTTCCACCTCCACTGCCTCAATATATAGCGACACTGACTGCATCACAGCACAGCAGTATTTCATATCCAATATATTACAATATAGTTAAGCTTTAGAGACCCCCGTTTACATAATTTATAAATAAACATTCATAATGCATGTTATACTCTAGGCGGAGTCGACAAGAATGAGAATAATGCCATGCAAATTATAATGGCGAAGAAAGAAAATTTAAATTTTAATGCCGCTTCCAACGACGCCATTGCTGCTTGACTCCTCGCCGCTCGTCATCACACAGTCGCAGTTTCCATACTTGTTTCGTTATATAAAGAAATTCTACAGTATGAATTCCTACGTCATGCATTTCGAAAAAATATGGCAAATGCAAACTTCAGAAACTACGGGAGCTCAAAATGTTAAACAAATGGTCATTGAGGAGACCCAATCCAAATTCCTACATCATTGTAAATTTTTTTTAGGGTTAGGGAGTAAGTACTTTTACTTACTTATCAGAGCGCCTCGTGCCTTAAGCTTGCCAGGCGGATCAAACAGGTTTCAGCCTTCCACCCTAATTCTGTCAAACTTCGAACATCCAGAACTGACCGATACGACTGTTCCTTTGTGCCCAAAAATCGGAATAGCAAGGAATCTTTAGGCTCCTCATAACAGTCGTATTTAGATTAAATACGTAAAATAGACATAGTACACAGATTCAACGGAACTAAGATAAGTTATGGCAAAACTTCCCATTACATATTAAGCGGCTTAGGAAAAAACTATAAATGAATTCAAATTCAGATTTAACTGAACATTTAGAATTATTTCTCATCTTAATGAAACAAAACTCTTCCATGATTAAATATTTCAAAGTCTGCTGAATAATAGCTTAGTAAGTTGAATAATAAAACAGAGTGATTTTACGAATAAAGTATTAATACATTTCATCATTTCATATTTATGCTGACGACTTTTTAAAGCTAAATATAGAATAATTCTATAAAAAATCAATGTACCTAGCTACGGTCTCATTATCAATTATATATCTAATTTATCTATACCGGGAACAGTCGATTACTGTTATATCAGACGCAGTTTTCAATTCATTTTTTAAAGAAGATTATAAGATGTTAAAAGCTCAAGAGAAAAGGGCCCCCCTATAATAAAAATTCTATCTTGTCTAACACTGTATTTATTCTATAAAAAAACATATATAAAAGTTTCTCGAGACTTTTCAATACGAGTGACAAGACAAAATACTTGGAGTTATGACAGCTTTAATACTTCTTAGTAGTAATCACGTGAAACAATGGATACTACTATTCCTTGGTCACTCCATAGATTTACTTATAACAATTATATGTTCAGGATGATTCAGAGAAGCATTGCAATATTTCTGCGATACAGAGGCCGTCAAAAAGTAACACGGAAAGTGTTTATAAGCATGGGTCGCAAAAATGTCCCTCATCGAAATAGAAGGTGTTGAAGTTTTAATTTTGACTTACAAAAAAATCTCTCCGGATTCTGTCAAGATATTGGCTTAAATGTTTGTACATAAAGTTCTACCAGCATAGCCAATGTATATAAAAATGTTCGTGCTTGAGCCTACACTAGTGGCTAAAAATTGTGAACTTTGTTTCCAGCAGAAGGAAAAAGTAACTTATTTTCTACGCCACTGACTTTTTTTAAACATTTAATGTAATTGCATATGTTTGTCTGGTCACTAAATGAAACCATATATGCATAACGTTTACTGACGATGTTTCTACCAGCACGGTGGCCTTTTTCAAGTACAATTGAAAATATCATCAGGATAAATTTCAGGCGTTGCATGTATTTAGTATATTAGGAGAGTAATCCTATCTCACAATAGCATTATTTAAGCAATATTTATTCAGGCTGATCAGTGTCATAAAAATTTACAACAGCCTGTTTCTTGTAATGGGACATATTTTATAGAACCTTTTTTGTTATTTTTGGATGTTCATTCTACTCCAGAAGTACTAACACGTTTTTCTGAATCACCCTGAGTATGATTTCACTCTTTTCAAGTAGGACTATCTACTATAACTATTAAGACAGTTTAGATCATGAAACTATATTTACATGACTCCTTTGTATTTATATCCCTTCTTACGTAAGTCGTCAAATTGCCACTACGTGTTTATAATACTTTGATGTCACCTAAATTATTTATATCAGAGCTGTGATGAATCTTTCAGCGATTCCGTGTTCCATCTGTTATAAAAAATCTGTCACCCTGTCCAGGATTACTACAATATGTAATCAACACTCTGAATAATTCACTTGTGAGAATTCTTTATGTCGACTTATTTTCCAATAAAATCCCGTCCCTGAGCCCGCAACAAACGGCATAATGTTATGTTTGGTTAGAGGAGGGTTTGTTATTACTACTTACTGCATATTGGGGGACTGGGCTGCGACAAAGAATCGACCACTGGGAGAGTGTATAGCAGCTATCGCTCGGCGTATAGACCACATCTACTGTGCCGCCAGAATCGTCGGCTTCTACAGGTCACAGTGGTAACTGGGCTATCAAACGCAAACTGAGATTGTTACAGTTCCAACCGATAGCTGCTATACACTCTCGCAGTGGTCGACTCCGGTAATAGATTGCACTATGCGCTGCCTTAGTTCGGCCATGCGAAATGTTTAGGCATTTTCCTTGGAAAATGTCCACAAAAAATGTTAAGTCTGGATCGTTAGCCGTCGGACATCAACATCTCTAGAAATTACGCGCTCATCATTGAATAGAAAACATACCTGTGGCAATTCCAAAGTATAATACGAAGCCTTATCTTGTTGAAAGATAATATAAGGTTGGATTTCATCAGGATTGTCAAATCAACAGTCCGTTATTCTCCACCTATAGGATAACAGTCCATCAAATACAGCGAATGAGCTTGAAGTTACAATCAACAAATTTTAGCAACCAATAGATATGAAATGTTGAAAACAAAATATTGTCAAAATATGAGATGACAGCTTGTCATAGAAACATCACCAGCTTATTGAATATTAAAAAATTACATATAATTCAGTAAAAATTTTAAAACGTGTTTGATTTTTGAATAAAATTCATGTGTTTTTAATATCGTCGATTGTTTATTCATCTTTATATTATTTTCTTCAATTTATATGCGATTTTACTGATTTAACATCACCTACCGTGTGTTTTTTCCTATAGACCTCTTGCTGATAGACAATAGGTACCTTTACACTTACACTCTTTCGCGTGGGTTTTGAACGTGACGTTCCAATCGTGCGCGCAAGAACGGTAATGTAGATGTGAGTCGGGCATGTGCGCAAACACTTCGTACTTTAGTAAAGACTTGATTGCGGGAGAAGAACGTGAAGGTTTTTTGTGCATAATTTGAGTGTGCGTGAGTGATTGGCACGCGGTATAACAAATAAAATAATTACATTGTAAGTAAAGTTTATTATTGTAAAATTGTAAATTACATTTTAATTCATTTTTACAGATATTTTCAATAAATACTTATTTTGTGTGCCATGGGAGACAGTAGGTACTGGTCGAAAGAGTTTATAAGGCATTTTATTGAAGTTTATAAATCGTATCCGTGTCTATGGAAGGTCAGGTCAAAAGACTATACAAATAAAAACCTAAAAAATAAAGCTTACGAGAAATTGGTAGAGGTCTGCAAAACCATTTTTCCTGAGGCAAATAAAGACTATGTTATAAAAAAGATTCAAAGCTTCAGAGGTTCTTTTCGCAAGAAAGTAAAAAAGGTGGCAGAATCAATGCGAAGTGGAGCTGGGGCAGATGATGTCTACATACCCACTTTATGGTACTACGACCTATTGTTATTTACCAGTGATCAGGAAATACCAACCGCTAGTATAAGCAATATGGATACGGACGAATTAGAGGCAGGATGTGACAATGGGGCAGGAGAACATGCAGAGAATAATGAATGCCAAATACTACAAGAGCATAATAATGAAAGTGAATCTCAGGATACTGAATTACAAGAAAACACAGACACAGGCGTAAAAAAAATTTATTAACACAGGTGAGTTATAATAATATAAATTAAGCTTTTCCTTTCTTTATCATGTCAAGTTGCCACGGAACTTTTCCTTCCAAATTAAAATATTGTTTGTACTTCTCGCGATTACTTTTAGCGTTTATTGTTACATTTTTTTGCGTACTTGTTCGTAAACTGGTAAGTTCGGTACTGCTATTCCGCCATTCACCCATTTGTAATTCGTGAGTCGCCAAATCTTCGTGATCAAACGATCTGGGAGGAGCATAAGAAGTCGTGCGTCTTATAAGAAAATTGTGCAAAGCACAAATAGCCAAAACCACGTAGGTGATATTTTGTGGATCGGTAATGTGTATGGCTGTGTGTAAAACTCGAAAACGTGCAGCTAGTAAACCAAAAGTATTCTCAACAACATTGCGTGCACGGGATAAACGGTAGTTAAAAACTCTATTTTCCAATGATAGATCTCTTTGAGGATACGGTTTCAAAAAATTTTCGTGCAGTGAAAATGCTTCATCGCCTAAGAAAACGTAATTAAGATGTTTCTCCGTTTCATCATTATTCGGCAAATGTAATTGACCTGAAAAAATTATCGTTTTAATAAAAAAAACCTCTTGCATAAAAAAATGACCTTTATTTTATACCTTTTGTCAATTTATCATAAAATTCTGTGTACTCCAAAATTCCTCCATCGGAATGTCTTCCATTTTTCCCAACATCGATGTAAATAAATTCATAATTTGCGTTTACAAGCGCTAGTAGAACGATGCTATAAAAGTTTTTGTAGTTGTAATATTGAGCTCCCGAATGAGGAGGCGGAACAATGCGTATATGCTTCCCGTCAAGGGCTCCCCCACAATTTATAAAATGCCATTGATTTTTAAAATCCGATGCTACTTGGCACCAATCGTCTTTTGTTTTTGGAAACTGGAATAAAATAATACTTTTAATTTTTTTTTAGAATTCGCATGCTTCACAATCAAAACCACCCCTTTCCACACCCAAATCTACAAACGTGACCACAAGGCAAAAAGTCAAGAGCAACTTTAATAAACAAAATGCTGAATTCATGCAATTTTGCAGAAACCAGTTGCAAATGACAAACAATGTTATTAGTGAATATGATGTAGTTGGAATTTCATGGAGCGAAAAATTAAAACGGATGGATTCCACTCAAGCCATTTTGGCCGAAGCATTGGTTAATAAAGTTATGACCCAAGGATTATTAAAAAAGTTGACATGTACTACAACCCTGTCGGATACAGAGGAGACACGAAATACTTCAATTTCATCCTGCAGTCGATACACGGTATTATCAAATTCTTCTGGTCAGCAATGGCAGTTTACATCACCATCAGACCAGGACTGTAATCAACAGAGGCAGGTTTTATCACCTTCGGAGCAAGAATCTGATCAACAGTGGCAGGTTACATCACCACCAGTGACAGAACAAGCAATCGAGACCTCTTCAACAAATATAGTGGATTTTTATAATACTGCTGCAGATAATATAGATGGGTAAAACCCCTACCTAGCAGCAAATATTTTCTTTTTTAAAGTTGTTCTTTTCACTGTTCTTTTTTTCTACGAAACCATTTATTTTTAAGATATACCTACTTGCTGTTCGCTAAAAAATAATTATGTTTTTATTTTTAATAAACTTACCTTCTAATAAGTTTCTTTAAGAACCTGATATATGGCTTTGCATGTTTCGGGTATGATGTAGCATAAGGAAGATGGTGATATTCCAGTAGAAAATTTAAGATCTTCATTGGAGCGACCTGTCGCTAAGTAGCGTAATGTGGCAGCTAGTCTTTCCTCCGCACTAATACTTTCTCTCATCTTCGTGTTTTGTTTAGAAATAATAGGTGAGATCAATTCTAATAATATATTAAATGTATCAAAGTCCATACGAAGATAATTTTTAAAATCACTAGGATAATCTTGTCTTAGTTCTTTTAATAGTGGCATGTGACCATATTTGTTACGATCCTCCATCCATTTTTTCACCCATATGCTTCTTTTTCTTTTATTATTTATAAAATTTATTTGTACAGCCATACAAAGAGCCACTTTTAATTTATGCTGCTTTATTTTGTACATTTTTTTATATCAATCCTTTCAGAATTTCTAAAACGCCTGGAGAACGGTCAAATCCGCGCGATAACCAACACTTTTTACTTTACACTGACATGTTTTTCCTTTTACGTTATATACGCGCGGTTAAGTCTGCGCGAATGGAACGTTGAATTTTTTATTTTTCTAGTAACACACTCTTGGAACGCTACGTTCTTGAAGCGCATTATTGGCCGCACGATTGGAACGCCGTTCAAACCCCACGCGAAAGAGTGTAAGTGTAAAGGTACCTATTAGGCACCTACTGGATGACAAGCTCTACTAAAAAATAGATAAGACTGATATTCCCACAAAACCATTCAGGATTTTCGATATCCACACATCTATAAAGTCAAATATTGTTCAGGAACTGAAATAAATCCACACTATATTTACAGAGACTAAGAAATACCCAAATATATGTCGTTAAGCTACCGGCAAACCTAAAACCTGCAAAAAACCAGAATTTGCAATAACTTTCTTATTTCACATCATGTTATTTCACTGAACACAAAATGTAGACCTGGCAACCACGCTAAGATCCTTACAACAAGATATCCTAATTCTAAAGCTCAAAGACATAATATTACATCTATAATGCACACTTATATATATATATATATAGCAACCAGTTTTTTACGATTTTGTTCAATATTTCAATATAATTAGCGATATTAGGAGAGCTTTGACAGCTTCCGTCAAACTGCATTTCGATAAGCTGCTCCCTAATTGGTTGAAGACCCCGTTAGATTTAAATCATTGTGACGGCCCTAAAGTACGAGATATTCAATTAAGCCCACAAAAATTCTTATTTGCAATAACGTTCGCCGTTAACATTTACCGTTCCACCATCCCAGTTTTCTTGAACAAATGATAGTGAAGCTTTCTTAGTACATTTGCACGCAATCTATCCCGGATTTCCAGACAACGCTTTTGAAATATAAAATGCTCGAGTCGTTTAAAAATGGCGGCAAATGTAATTCGCCTTTTGGGACCCCTCTACCTATCAAGACGATTTCCCTTATTTTCTATAACGTCACCTGTATTTACTTAAGAAGGGAAGTGACATCACCCCCTCAGTTACCTCAGGCTAAATAATATTCCAATATTTTGCCCTCCCACTTTGCTCTGGCCTTCCCCACATCCGCAAATTTGTTGAGGTTGAGGGTCTTAGATGGTTCGTCTCGAATCAGCTGTCTGAGACTGGCTTTCGCGGCCATTTTGAACGGAATTCCGGAGGATGTTGATCTTTACTTCTTATCCTTCGTTTTGCACCAGGGAAAAAAGTGAATTTATCTTTCTAAAAATTGGTTTTGGGATCAGAATAAGATGATGTAACAGCTTAGCCTGTCTCGCGCTGTGTGGACATCTTCTATCGAAGATGTATCCACTAACTACTCATATGTTAAAGAAACTGTGAACAAATATCGATAAAAAATGTCATAGACCAAATGTTCAAATTGTCTCAATCCTGAAAGAATGACGCCTTGGCTCTCATTTTTCATGCCCTCTCATTTTTTATATACTTCGGACATTGCGCCCTTACTTTATAAGATGGCGTTCGTAGCCTACAAGCAAATACAAAATTCGCACTCGCAACTGTCTAACTGTCAACTATAATTATCTATTTCTTTTAAATTTTTGTAGACAGTATCTATACGAATACGTACTGTGCGTACGTTTTAAGTATATATTTTATTGAAATGCTATGTCTTCGTTTAGATCAGACTTATTCTGTCTACGTCCCACTTTGAGAGAGTCAATCAATGTCTAGCACCCTCCGAAATTAATATATTCATTTAAATAAACCTAGTGTAATAGTGTAGTAAGAGTTTACAAAAAAATATAAATTATAATTTGCATCGCCCCCTCCCCCCCCCCCCCCCCCGTACGTCAAGTACTTGAAAATTCAAGTAGTGTTGATGTTACTTGATAATTTTTGTAATACAGGTACGAGAAGGTTTTAAATAAACAATGCAGACTTTTTATCAAAAAACAATACATATTGAACAAAATAGTTTGTTCATCGAATACCAAATAAAAGAGCAATTAAACAGTTAACGCAAATAGAAAAAAAGCATTTCTTCATCACCTGACACACAAAAATGCAAAATTCTGGTATCTATTAGCTTTTCAATCGCTAACCAAGTTAAGACACATGACGGTTTTAATGAATTTATCCCTTAACCTAATGGGGGGGGTCTCGTAATGTTGAGTGCAGCCCTGGAAAATCTTCTATCAATAGGCGCTGAGGTTTCTTTATGAATTTTTCACTCTTCGTGGTTATTTTGTATTAAGTATCAAATAGTTTGAAGATACTTGACTTCAGGTCAAATAGAGCAATGAAACAATCAAGCCAAATCATGCATTGTTTCCAATAATTTTATTTTCAAGTCAATCAAGTAGTTTATAAACATATCAAGCTACTTGACTTGAATCCCAATGTAACGCTTTTATCCCCAGGGCATACTTTAGCTGTCTAGCTACTTGACTTAATATAAACAAAGCCTTTGAAGCCTTGATATATCCTGACCATAATCGTTAATATTTACTACCTCATCATAGGCGGAGGTGTCGGTAACATGATACATGAAACTCCGCCCTTCAGTAAGAAGAAGCTGAAGAAAGATCAAATTAAAATCATAGGTAAACTATATTATCAACCCAGGATTTCATACGAATCACGTGCATTTCAAGATGTACGAGCATGTAGGAAAAATGGACAGTACATAAAGTAACATGAATAATGTCAAAACAGAACAGAGAGATGTAACGTGCGGTAACTCTGTGCAAACGCAGAAATTATTATTATTATGATTTGCTCTCAGTTGCTGGCTGTTTGTGGCTTATTCTGGCTCGGGATGAATGTCTAGTCATATATATTTACGTTTTTGGGACCGTTATAATACGTTATACACTTTATTTACGACGATGAAAACCGAAGCGACTTCACTCATTTTGTAGAGGTTAGTGGATATGGCTCCAAAATTTTAATTCAATGCATTGTCTATCTGATTGTCGGTTATTTTACAGGAGTCCTTTATCAGTAATGATCCAAATCATAGATACGGAAGGCTTTTTGAAAATTGTAATCGCAAAGAATTTCAAAAATTAGATATTATTTTTTTTAGATATTATGTGACTATAGATCACGAAAGACCATGTCTCTCATTTCCGTCGGTCTGTCTGTCGGTCTGCCCAGTAAATGTTGGCCCCTCAATAACTTAGAAAGCACTGTTCTCGGATTTGGATGAAATTTATTCACAAGGTTACTACTATGCCAAGGACGAAAAGGTTTTTAATAATCGTTCCGGTGGCAGCGGAGAAAGAGACCAAGAACGGAAAAAATAAAAATCGCTCAAACGTCGATTTTATGTTTCAGATGACGATTATTTAAAAAAAATTAGGGGTAACAGATTATACGGTGCGGGCTTGTAGGGGGTGGTGGTACAACTTTTATGTCCGGTAATTCTATGCACGTTCTAGCCATAGGCCATGTTTATCATTTTGTATCTGTAATGTCGGAGTGAAACAGAATTATTTGATTTTCAATAGAGGACTATATTTTTTACAAAATATGGTGGGTGGTTATGTCTAATCATGGCATTCTCCATACTGTCTTTGGTTTATTAGAACATTTTGGTGTTATCCGCAGGTATTGTACAGCAATTTAGCAAATCTCTGAAATGAAATAAGAGCAGAGTCGAATAAATGCTTTACTCATAATTTGTACCAGATCTACACTACCTGTTTGAAAAGTTGATAAAACCTTTACAACGAATATTCATGCGTTGCTTGTCTTGAAGAAGATAAATAATGGTTATGGCATTTAACCTAAAAACTAAAACTTAGGTTATAGTGAAGTATATATGTATATATTAAGCAATGAATCTAAGCCGAGTACATCAATTTTGCGCCTATAAAAGTTATGCTATTGTTGCAAATGTATAGCCTCCAACAGTTACTGAACAACAGTTGTATAAATGCTTCCGTTGGGAGCAACTTGTTGGCTAAAGTATTAATTTTGCACATCAAAGCAAGAAGGCTAGGGTTATATAAATGTTACCATGGACAATACACCACAACCATTTCGATGACCGCGCTAATATGCCGTATAAAATATTTGTATAAACGTTTGTGCAACAGTTCTAAATTTACCCTATAAGGTGTTGTATAAATATGCGAAAATACACTAATACTACACTAATACACTTCACTTTAGAGCAAATATGCTGCAGTAGGCAAATTTGCATTTCACACAACATTAAGCCACATTTACCATTCGGCCATCTGTGCCATTGTGACGTAACCACCATAAACCGTGAATAGAGCTATATGCGTCTTTCATTGGGTTCATTCAGGTAATTGGCGGCACTGCACACGAATATGATCGCAGAAAAATGTTGGAAGTTCGGCACGGGTATCACGTATCTTGAAAAGTGACATTATGCCGATTTTTTTGGACATTATGTAGGTTAGTCTACAAGATGTTAACTTAGCACTTAGTTGTACGTGTTTCCTAAAAGTCATGAGGCTTGTTATCAATCTTTGGCTTTGATGTGATGTAAAATCTGCTTCTGAGATGGCATTACTGGAGGTCTAAGCTGTAAGTTGTGTGTGTTGATGATAATTACATTGGGTTCTTGTCTCAAATCCACTTAATTGAGATTTAAAGCTAGAAATTAGTTACGCATCCACTTTTTCTTATCCATTCTGGAAATTACACATACAAATTTGCTGAATTTCAAAAATGAGAGATAAGAAATAATTATATTCACTGTACACTGTCGAATTACAAGCCATATACATGCTAACAGTAATTACACACAACGCGGGCGCGGTGATGATTTCCCGTAATTCTCCTCAGTTTTTCGTAATTTATAACTTTGAACATAACCTCTCTTCAGAAAGCACAACATATAAATAACCCGTCATATTCGGCATATTCAGTAATGATTTTCTCACACAGCAAATAACAATGATTTTATACACATGCAGATGCGATCTTGCTATTCAACCAACTTTCTTCTCAGAGATAAAACTACAGACACGGATCACTCAGCCTCACAAAACTATACAACCAATAATGCGTGTAGTTTAGTTGAGTGATTCCTCCACAGATGGTCGTTCACAACGATCCTAGTGAGCAAACGTGGAATGACTATTTGCGCCCTAAAAACTACCTAGTCTGCAAGTTGACATCTTATAGGTTTTTTTAGCGTTTTATAGGTTTTTTTACATGATACCTGTGCGGATCA